TATCTTTAATCCTTTCTAAGATACAGCGATTCAAAGCTTAATCTAACAATTGAACAATTTTGCTATTACACGATTTGAACAATTTTGCTGTTACAACCGGTAAATAAGATGCGTTGCTGTCACGATTATCTGAAAATTGCTATTACATATTAAATATCACATGCAGAATAGTTGTATTTTCATCTATTTTTCATCACAGATGAAGAGACTTGGGGCAACAGAAATGTGATTCGGAACATATGAGCAACCACGAAGTTTTAGAGAAAATGAAAACAAAGAAGCTAGTGAAGGAAAGCGAAAAGAAAGTACTGAACATCAGCGCCTACTTTGGCGTTTAGGTCTCCCATGATAATGATGTCTTCGTATGATTTGCAAAGAGCCTTGGCATTGTTTAGCGTGGAGTAGTAAGATTCGATTTCTTCTTCATTACTTTGCGCTGTCGGTGCGTACACTATTATGATAGCTATGTTGAAAGGCTTTCCTTTCAGCTTGACTACCAGAATTAGTTGGTAGTATCCCAGGACGCATTTTATGTTTTATCTAGTATTAATCCTACTCCTTTCTCGTTTTTCTCTCCGCCTGCATAAATAATCGTGTACTTGTCGCTAACAAAATCTCCGTTGTTTAGCCATCTAGTTTCACATACATCTAAGATGTTGATTTTAAGCCCGCTCTTCTCTTGTTTCATATTATCTAACTGGCCGCAGTTGTTCAATGTCCGAACGTTCCATGTTCCGAGAGTTATTTTATGACTAATCCGAGCAGTCGCAAGATAACAGTCTGGTGACACCTGTCGCTCATGTCGTTCCTTTCTGGGCGAGGGATAGATTCCGAGGAATTTTATCCCCCTTTACGCCGTTTATGCTAGCAGTCGCTGGATGACGGTCAGGTGACACCTGTTACGCATGTCTGTCATTACCGGACGAGAAGTTAGGTTATATATATATATATATATATATATATATATATATATATATATATGGTAAGTATACCACAATCGAAATGTCGGCGTCTAAACCGACTACCCCACTCAGTTCTTCCGAGTTAGCGAGACAGTAAAACAAAAAACAAAACCTAACAAAGGGCAGAGGAAGTATCTGAGTGAACGGCCAGCTAACTAGAAGTTGTATAAACCACTGTGGAGAAGGCCAACCACTCCATTATCAATCCCAAAATATCTCATAGCTAACAACACATACAATATGAAACCTAACGGCCATTGATTCAAGGTTAGCAAGATTAACATGAAATTCCAATTGTAAATACTAAGAATCGATTTTCCCATGATGTAGTCTTGATGTATTTTTATATATTTTTTATGTTAGTTTTTTTTTAAGTTAATTTTCAGACTAGTTTGTAAATAATAAAATTATTGAACAATTATTTTACTCGAACTGATTACCAAAACCCGAAAGAAGCCAGATTACACGCGATACATACGCGTATATGATGGAAATAAATAAAAAAATACATCAAACCTCTAATCAATAGTAATTTAGTGAAAAGTGTGTGTCTGATTTCAAAAATACGTCTCTGTTTCATAAAAGAGATGCACTGTGGTTGATTGAGTTGGAGGGGGCAAACACGGAAGACGAAGTCACTTTAGGGTAGGAGGGATTCTGAGATGCCATAGTAACCAACCCTTCCTCAACCCATGAGAATGTCGACTTTGCACTTCATCAACCTTTTGCAGGTTATTTATAAGAAAACTTTTTAGATTGTAAGAAATTTTTTGGCGATAATAATGAGTTAGTGATAGAAGTGTTATGATGGGCCTTGTATGACTCCTGTTTTTGTGAATTATACAGCTATACATCATAACAACAAAGTGAGGCATTTATATATAAGGATTTATTATCGGAAGGTTTGGTTGTTTTGGTAGATAAAATTTCTCGTAACGTGGATGTTAAATGTTCTGATATTTATGTTTTCTTGTTGAATGAGTGAATTATTTTGCTTTGATAGGTCTATTGCTAAAAGTCCATATTCAATATGAGGAAGTAATATTTGAGTAAAATCTTTGTCTTATTCCCGGAGAGGTCCATTTTCACATGCTTTTATGGTGAGAGGTTGTTGAAAATACACCAGATTCTAAATTTTTCGCCAGTACGACGTTTTCCTATCATACTAGGGAATCATAGGAAATTTTTTTTTTTTATTTCCCGTGATCGCGAGTTCACTACAGAAGACTTATTAATTAAATCCAAGGTTGGGGAAGGAGATATGGTTTCATACATTGACTAAGGGTATTTGCGCGTAAATGAATATATTCACAAACCGGACTGGAATTGGAACTTGGATCTCCGATTGACAATTCTGACCCGTTGTCCATTAGATCACTCTCACATTCAAGCTTGCAGCACCTGGTATGGCCAAGCGGTCACCCATCTAGGTGCTGACCAAGCTCGACGTTACTTAACTTCAGATGGGAGAAAGGAAAACGATCCTTACTAATGGAAGAAAAATACTTCCTAGTGTTAAATAGCAGGTACAAATATACTGCGGCGTTTAGGTAGTGTTGTGATGTGTTAAATGTATCAATTTTATGTATCAATTTTAATTACAAGTCTCTTAAAATACTGATGACTTGATGTTCTTCATTAATCTTTTGATATTCGTCTTCTTCGAATACGCAAATTAGACAATCTAAATATAACACTATATCTCTAGGAAATGTAAGGGAAACATTTCAGTGCTCTCAAGTCATTACCAGATGTGACTTAAAATCAAGGTCACCAGGAAAAGTAAGAGTTTTATATCGCTAAATGATCTTGTGCTATTTCTGTGTTGTTTTGTTTTGGGCATTTCTTTGTTTTCCTTCTTTCTTCTCTTGAGTTTTTCTTTCTCGTAGAGATCTCCTTTTTTCTCGTTCTATATTGTAGTCAACGTTACTTCTTTGTCGATTGTCTGTAAACATTTCTTCATCTGTGTCGTTTTTTAGGGGCCATCTTTAGTTGTTGGTCTGCAAGATCCTAACTGGGAATGCCGATGGAAAGCTTCTCTTCCTTCTCCTCATATTCTTCTCGGGGCCTTATTTGATCTGTTACGGGATAAAATAAATATTATCTAAAGCGTTTGTTGAACCAGCTTGATATAACCCTAAGTTAGATAAATATAACTCTAAGTTCTAGTTTAATAGTTTGTTTTGGGTTTTTTTCTCACCTGTGAAATTCTCTTCTCACATCGCCTTGCTTGGGGTGAAATGATTAAAAAAAAACTAAAGTATATTAATTCCATCGCTTCATCCAGGGATTGAACTCACGACCATTAGATAAAAAAGATAGAAGCGTAGGACAATCAGTTGGGAGGATCTAGACAATTTAAACGTAATGTCTATTCTGAATTGGTTCGAAATTCTTAACAGGTTGCTGAATAACATATGTACAGCGTGTACTTCTTATTTTGCATTAGAAAGGGTTTTTATATTTAAGAAAAGAAAGGGTTCATTTTTTATTGGTTCACTGCACCTTTGATGAATGTGAGGATCTTGCAAAGGAAGAACCAATACTTATATTGCTCATTACCTTTTGGCTCATCATATATGAATTGGGATTAAATATGGAACGGAATCCAACAGAATGATAGATAAAGAACAATAGGAGATGTTTATCAATCTAACATGTTTCAACTGTTATTAAAACTTCATCAGAGAATGAGATATGGAGAAAAAGAAGAAAGAAATTCTGGTATTTTTACTTTGTAACCATAATTATTTATGAAGAAAGTACTTCGAGGGCCTACTAATAATAATATTACCAGTTATAAACGCAACGTTAAAAAGATTTACCTTTATTAAAACCATTCTTCAAGAATCTAACGTATGTTTATCTAAAACAACGGATATGTAGAATTATTATACACTTACATACATAAAGAAATATTTACGATTTTTCAGGCAGGCTTGAAATCTGTTAATTTCTTGAAACTTTTGATTGATGCATCGCCTTTTATTGAATTCGGAACGCCACATGATTAACCTATGAAATCCAACGCAAAAGTAAAAATACAAGAATTTCTTTCTCTCCATATCTCATTCTTTTCATATATATATATATATATATATATATATATATATATATATATATATATATAAACTTAATGGGTTAATTTTATTACTTCAAACGTATAGTTGACAATTCGCATTTGAAATTATCGGCCCATTTTCATTTATAAAACAGTGTATATTACGCCTATTGGCCTGCGCAATAGAAAAAAAAATTAGTACCGAAAATATTTTCATTGACAAGTATTGAACCTGCGTCCCCTAGTCATTTAAGGAAACTGCATTCTTTCGTTAAAAAGGCCGAAATTATGGAGCATCATGTGAAGATCGAACACACTATTCAGTTGTCACTGATCTAGCAAAACTATTTTGCTAACCAATACACCACGTGAAAGTGCTCAAGTGAGTAAATATCAACTGCCATGTACGCATGTGCACACACACACACATGTATGGAAAAAAAATGGCGTAATAGAATTTAAAGATTAAAGTAAGATATCGCGAGGCTCACATTATTTATCGAAAGCCATTTTTTCTTTTCTTATTTGACCTTTTACAGTTTTATTTTCGCATTATAAGTTTGCATCATCTGACTTACCGATATTTTCTTCTTTTTCGTTTATGAATGCAATCAATAATCTTTTATCTCATATCCATGTCAATTATGAATGTTAATCAAGCGTGAAATAGAAAAATACATCAGCTTTTTTTTTATGCTATATCCCTTCAAGTCGCAGGCGATTATAACTCTGAAGTTTCCTCTTCTTTATCTGTGAATAAGTTGTCAAAAATTCTTAAGAAAAAAAAAAAAAAAAAAAAAAGAGCGGCGTCATTTTCTATTACATTTTTTCACGATTTGGAAATCAGAATTTTCTTTCTCTGGGACTGACTTCCATCCAAGGTCGGAGAGACCCGGTCTATCCTGTTATTTAACCCATAGCGGCATTTGCTATCACGGAATTTGAACTCAACTCACCTATTCCATGTTGACGGCCAAATCAAAATACCGGTTTCCGTACGATCACAGAAGCAACATCGAGCCTGGTCAGTACTTAGATGGGCGACCGCTTGGGAATATCAGGTGCTGTAAGCCTGGATGCGCGGGTGGTGTAATGGATAATGGCACGGAATTGTTAATTGGAGAGCCGAGTTCCAATTGCAGTTGGGTTCGTTATATTCACTTACGCATAAATACCCTTGGGAAAGGTATTAATCTACAGCTTCACCATCCAGTTATGAGTAAGGTAAGACTTGTAACATTATTATCCCCCCTCCTCCCCAAATGAATTCTTACAATCTAAAATTATTTTCTGGCTTTAAATAACCTCGAAAAGGTCGATAAACCGTAAAAAACGAACCAGTCAAATCAAATAACATATTCGACTCGGAAGGTATCAACTTGTTTATTGCGCAACTAATGTAGAACATCCTTACGGATGGTTCGCAACTAATATTACGAACAATCTGTAAGGATGTTCTACCTTCTCACCATAATAGTCTAGTAATCATTACATTCACACATACATGTACAACATGTACCGGCCAATATCGAAAAAGGCGGATGTAATAATTTGCATAGGTACGCCAAGACATCCGAATCTGTGAGAGTTAAGTATTTATTAAATATCTGTCTATTTTTCTGAGATGAGGTATTATAACGATTTACACTATTTACATTGTTCGTACTATTGTCCTCGTCTTTATTGCCATATTCAGAACGTTGGACGCTCCGGTCTTCTTCATTTATGAAGGTGAATTCACTAAAACTTAGATATCCAAAGGCATTAGAGCAATTTACCCCTGTGAACTAAATAAAGTGTTTGTCTCAAAATTCCAACATATATCACTTGAAGAAGGCCGGAGTGTACAGGGGCCGAAACGTCGTGAATATAGTAATAAAGATGGGGACAACAGTTATAAAATTGTAAATAATGTAGATATTTATTAAATAATTATCAGTGTGTCACTTTCTTCAGAAAAGAAATTTTCTAACTTCTAAAGAAATATAATCAGTTTCATTTAAAAGTCCTACAGAAAATAACTCTCAACAGCCGAGAGCAGCTCTATAAGCAGGACGAATGGCTTTTAGGTGTGAAATTTGTTTAACATTAAAGCATATATATTGATGAGCCAAAACATTATGAGGACCTATCTAATAAAGCACTTCTTACTTTGTCATGGATTCTACAGAATCTCTAAATGTTTCCCCTCAGACCTGGTTGCAGGGTATTAACAACAAGTCGTTTAAGCAGTTTGTCTAAAACAATACATGTGCTCAATAGGATTGAGATCTGGTGAGTCTGATAGCCAAGATAAAACTGATGTTCCTGAAATTATTATCGTGCAACTTAAAAAAATGTCTTGCTTTTGAGCTATTCTGATAATGTTAAGAGGATTTGCCTTTAATTCCATACAAAAAAAGCCGTGAAAATACCATTAATAAATTTCGTTTTGAACTAAGAATTGTAAAGAAAAGACTTTTTTTAAAAAGTCATTCATTTTCTTCGTTCAACGCCAGCTTAAGGAAAGCACTAAGATTCATTATTTAAACATGCACACACACACACACACACACACACACACACACACACACACACACACACAACACACACACACACACACACAAACAAAAAAAAAAATCCATTCTTTCTTTTTTGGATCTGATGAAGCCTTGAATGGCGAAATGAATTATCAAATAAATTTTCAATCAAATCTACTTCATGAAACGTTTTCATTTGTCAAAATTAAAAAAAAAACTTTATGGAGATTTCTATATCCTAATTTAAAATAAATATATTGTCGACACGGAAAAAGCATGGAGAAACCAAAAACCAAATCTTTTTATTTTCAACCCATTCTGAAGGATTGAATGAGGATTTACTTTGGATCCATTTCAGAAAAGGCGAAATGAATTTCTTGCTTTCAAGTCATTCTGATAATTAGATGACGATTTGCCTTTAATTCCATACAAAAAAGCTGAGAAAATACATTAACAACTTTCGACTCAAACTAAGGAATATAATGAAAAGGTACCACTAGAATAAATATTAACTTTTTTTAAAAAAAGTCACTCATTATCTTTCTTCTTTAATTACGAGAAACGTTTGCTTAGAGAGTATACTAAGATTTCATTATTAAACATACATATAAAAAACATTTCTTCTTTCGCTTCCGGATCTGATGAAGCCTTGAATGACGAAATGCATTATCAAATCTATTTTCAACCAATCATGAAACGTTTCCATTTGTCATATCTATCTATCTATCTCTTTCTTTCTCTCTCTCTCTCTCTCTCTCTCTCTATATATATATATATATATATATATATATATATATATATATATATATATATATATATATAATATAAAAAGTGAACATTGAATTCAACACACTGTTTCATGCTAAACACAATCATCAGGCCACATGCGTTGTGTTTTTCCTCGACTATTTATATAAAGGGGTCAGTGGCGCATTGGGGGTAGTCTATTGCATTGTGGGTAGTGTATTCTAACGGTTATTTTGGGGAGAAGTGGTTTGCTAATTTGTTTATTATTTACTTTATTTATTTGGATTAATTTATTTTTCTTGTAATTGCTTATTTATTTTTATTTTATTTATTTTTATTTATTCTTTTATCAGTTTTCAATTTTTAAGTAACATAGTAAAAATTTGTTTTCGTGTCTGCATTTTGAGATGAGTTCTGATCGTTTATTTAGTTTGTTTTGTTCTGAGAAGTTAATTATAGCTATTTTTCCTCTAAGCAGAGTTTGCAGTTTTTGGATTGATTGTTGTAGGCTGATGTTCTTTTCCTTATTTTCTATTATATTTTTAGTGTAATTTGCTTTTTGTTTTTAATTTCCCAGATATATTTTGAAAGCAGTGTGCTGTTCGCGTATTTACTATTTGTGAAAGATGTTTTGCGTGCGTAGTTTCTTTGTTTCCATGATCCTTCTGTTACTCCTATGTATATTTTTCTTCGTTATCTGATGATTTTATCGTGGCTTGGTATATTACATTGTTTTGTAAGCAATTACCGTTTAAGAGACATTCGTTCTTTATTCTGCAGTTACATGTGAGTTTGATTTATTCGGGTAATTTGTTGATAGTTTTCCTGTTGTATTTTTTTTTTATTATCTACGCCATGTTATCGATGCAACTGCAGCTGATTTTTACGGTGTTTTTGTTGAATATTTAGTGGAGAGTGCTTGACTCGGGGAAGTGCTTGTGTAAGAGTTTGATGAATATTTTTTCTGCGTTTGTTTTTAAGAGGACAAAAGAAGCCAACAGGAAGGGAAACATCATATGGCTCAACTCATCGTACAACAAAAATATAAAAACAACGTTCATTTCATTTATTCGTATATATATATATATATATATATATATATATATATATATATATATATATATATATATATATATTGAATCCCAAGAAACAAACTGATGCACTTCGGATTATCTCTAATAAATATCATTAGAAAATATGCCAAGAAAACAAATTACATCCAAAAATGAAATAAGTCAGGGGTAATTAACTGATACAATTTATCTCACTAGTGTGGAGAATGGAATGGAAACGATCTATTTCATTTGATTTAATAAAGGGCTAAAATAAAAATTCCTAAAATCTTACAAAATATGAAACAGATAAAGAATGCTGGGATGTACAATGACCGGAATGCTGTGATATCGCAATTAAGATGAAGAGGTTAATCCGAATAAATAATTGTTCAGTACTCATCATTTTTTAACCTTCATTAACGGCCTTCCCTATGACATCAGCTCTCAAGTTGGCATCTACGCCGACGACACTACAATTTACTTCTGCCTCGATAGTATGGTTCATCAGTCAAACAAGGTCAGAATGGCAGCTGATGTACAAGACCGCAAAAGATGGTTTGTCAATTTTAACGTGTCCAAAACTAAACTCTTCTCTATTAATCATCTGACAGGCCCCTCTCTGCCTTCCATCAGCATGGCTGATGCTATCCTCCCAAAAAAAGTGACTTCTTGCGCCTTCTCGAATCCATTGCTAGGTTAGCTGCTAAAAAGATCAGTTCACTGTGTCAGGCGGGAAAGTTCTTCTCCCCTGAATCTATCTTACATATCTATTAGTCTGCCATTCGTCCATGCTTAGAATATTGCTGCTATATATGGTCCGGTGACCTTGCGATTTATCTGGAGCTCCTCGATAAGATCCAAAGAAGAATCAGCAACATTATTGGTTCTGATCTGGCGGTTCGGCACCAGTCACTTTCCCACCGCCATCAAGTTACTTCTCTATGCCTTTTTTATAAATATTTTCATGCTACCTGTTCGGATGAAGTAATTGCTATCGTACCTTGACTGTATGAATTTGAGCGCAATATTAGACTGGTGGCGAGATCACATCAATTTACAGTTGAACTATCTATAGATGCAACCGTAACTTCTATGCTAACAGTTTCTTTTCTCGCATCTCTCGCTTGAGGAACTTTCTGTACGGTTCCATGCTTTCTAACCAACTTTAATCTGAAGAAATTTAAATGCAATGTCAATTGCTATCTACTGTTCTCCTGATCCCTCTTTTATCTCTCTACTCATTACTAATGTTTCTGTTTCCAATTCCTCCACACCTGCAACTCTTTGCGTTTTAGTGGCTGTATTCTCTTGTTTGGGATGACACTGATAAAAAAAAAAAAAAAAAAACTTCAGATATGCTGTCATATCATCGCAAAAAATAAATACAGATAACTATATCAAAACATTTTAAAAGCTTTTTTAAAGTTATTGTTTACCTAACACGAAATCCACTCAAAATAGATGGTTATAGAATAAGTTTTTTTATGAACGTAAGAATTATAGATTATAAGAATATGTAGAATAGGTTACGGTTGACCCTGGACTTGAAGAGGTTAAAATTGTAGCAGTCGGAGAAGCGTCGTTCTAGGGAGTCTATTCCACAAACCAGCTTTGGGGGAGAATCTGTCGAAATGGAATTCGAAGGAAATGAGACGTATTCGCCCCGGAGTATATGCCATGAGGGGACTCTAAGGGTCTGAATTGGTGGAACTAGGAAATGTAGCTTGTTATAACATTTTCCATGGAAATAG